CAATGGCTAATTTTGGATGTTTTTTTTTTTTTTTTTTTTTTTTTTTTTTAGAAAAGAAGAACTCAGAATCATTCATGGTCCACTACTCAGACTCTACCAAGTCACTAGAATCACTAGAATATGTGTGTCGAAAAGCCTCCAAGCTGCTGACAATTGCAGTACCTGTGTGAACTGTTGTGTGGTTATCTTTATTCCAATGCCCATACTATCCATCCACTGTGTTTTTTAACTAGGCCCACAGAATATCCTGATTTCATGGAGAAGGGGGGCAAGAAGACTACGTACACATCCCGTAACGTTTTGGGGATACTGTACAGAAGCGCAAAGGTGGGACATTCGGAGGTGACTCCGGCAGCATTAAGGTTGCATAGGGAGGATATCGAACGGTTATACGACAAAGACCTGGAATACGGCGACTTCAGCCTGCTGCTCGGGGAAGCGTGGGAGTGCAAGCGTGCCTACAACATCCGGTTGGTGGGACTGATGAACCAGTACCGCATCACGAGCGAAGCGGAACTGGTGACGGGACATGTGCTCAAGTTTTCGCGCTTTTACCAGCGCAAGCAGCAGGAGGTGAAGGATAGGGTGCGGACGGCGTACTCGGCAATCCGCAAAGCTGCGCGACAATGGTTTGAGCAAGGGTACAACCTTGTCGGCAACCCAGCCGACGCTTCTTCCGCGGAAGATGCTTCTCTTGGCCATGGCGGCGAGTCAAATCTGGACAGCATCGAACTCGAAGGGGAAGAGGAAGACTACGATTATGATACTGGTGAGGAGGAGCTGGGCAGGCCATCTGGGGGAAGAAACCTGACCGACGATCTGACGCGAGCCTCAGCATGGTATCATGTCACATACCATCCTGATTGGATAGATAGGGGAAAGAAGGAGGGGTATAAGGGTATACCCCTATTAAGCTTTGCCTGGGTTGCCGCAAAGGAGCTAGGGCTGCTGAAGACTGGCTTGCACAGCTCCGTCCGGAGAAGAATCTAAGGCTTAAACCACCAGTTCAACCGAGCCTCTGTTTGCCGACTCGAAGACTCGGAGGTGGATAATTCCCCCCGTGCGCCAAGCTGTGGTGAAACGGCAGCATGTCACTTTTTCTTCTCTTTCGGCTGGCGCCACCAGCCATTTTGGTCCGGCAGGCGGAGCCACCAAAATTTCCGGATTCGCTCAATTTCCACGCTGAAGTTTCCTGCGCAATGTACTGGCAGTTTAAACCAGAGTACCCACCTCGGCTACCCTGTGCGCATCTTCCAGCTAATACAAGGCGGCAGAAAGGCTCAGCCTACCAGACCAAATGGCTGGCAGCACGCAGTATAGGCCAAAGACCCGGAATACGGCGACGTCAGGGCACTTCTCGGGGCAAAATGGGCAACGGAAATGGCTGATGGCATGCGGTAGGCCNGGCAACGGAAATGGCTGATGGCATGCGGTAGGCCCTGTCTCTTATACACATCTAGATGTGTATAAGAGACAGCGGTAGGCCTTGTCCACCACCACTAGCGTTGGTGGGGGCGTGGTTAAAAGAAAAAAAAAAAAAAAAAAAAAAAAGGCCTTGTCCCCATGACAGTTCAGCATATGTATGAGGGGTGGGGAAAAATGCGCATCGGAAAAGAGAGGCTTGAAGGTACCTGTGGTTTAAAACAGCAGTACTTGGCCCATACATCGGCGGCTGCGGGGTGTTTTCGTGCACGCGCTGCAGCTTTCGGGCTTTGGGTACCGGAGCAAATTTAAATGGCTGGCTGCGCCCGCCAAATGAAAGCTGCACCGGTTCGTTTTATCTTGGAGTGCAGCACTTTTCCAGCATCAGAGGAAATTGCCTCGGAAGTACTGGGTGTGTGTATCCCTTTGTACCCCTCGTTAATTTCATGCAGGAGGGTGATCCAGATATCAGGAAAGGAGGAGGGGTATAAGAGGATATACCCCTTTGAAGCAGGGGTGTTTTCATTGACGAGGGGTACAAACCCCTCGTCAATTTCCTGCAGGAGGGTGATCCAGATATCAGGAACGGAGGAGGGGTATAAGGGGATATACCCCTTTAGAAGCTTTATCTGGGTTGCTGCGAAGTAGCAGCTACGGTAGCTGCCGTCTTCACCCACCCGATAGAATGCCCGGTCATTATTGCTGTTGTATTTGGGTGAAGAGGTAGGGATGCTGAAGAGAGGCTGACACTGCCCCCTCAGAAGGACCAGTCCACCCACGTTAAGATCTATGGAAGGCTTAGCCGGGGGGGGGGGGGGGGGGGGGGGGGGGTTGCAGCCCTCTTTATACCCTTCGTTTATGCCCCTTATTAGTCACCATTTGTAGTAAAAGAGCACCATGTGGGGGAGTGGGGAGGAGAAGCCTTTTCTTTCCCCTTTTTTTTTCCCTTTTTGAAGAGGAGGAGAAACTGATAAGAATCCTGGGAAAGGATTCTCACCCCTTCAATGTATAATATAGGGACGCTGGACCCGATTTCCAGCAGGTGCTGCTCCCC